CTGTGTGCTGGCCTGTTCTATACACCATCCTTTTAGCAATTACACGGGGCTTATTAGCCCTGACAATCTCACTTGTGCCAACATGGTGCATTCTCCTGCTTTGTTTTCTTTGGGGGTAAAACTTGACAGCACCCTCTGATTCCCAGCTGAAATGGTTTAAAATCAGCCAGCTGTGGCTCTGTTTGAAGCTGGCCTTCTCTGAGCAATCCATTTCCTGCCCAGCATGAAATCACAACGACTCATGTGGCTCAGAGGCTTTCTAAAACAGCAGCCATCACTGGGGGGCTGCTAGCCAGGAGCACCTCAGTGCCACACAGCAGGAAAGGACCAAACCCAACCAACAGCAATCTTGTGCAGACCGAGTGGAACTGCAGAAGGGAATGAAGCAGCAGCAGGCTCACTCTGGAGCATGTTTCAGTGGGAAATGGAAAGTCTGTCCCTGTCCTTTCCAAGTACTCCTGATCTGCAGAGCATTATAAAAGGCTTTGCAGTCCTGAGACAGACCCGAGCTCTGCTAGAGGACAGGCAGCTAAGGGGAAACTTTATCCAAGAGGACAGGCAAGTGAGCCACAAAATCCAATTTGCAAAGGATCAGAGGCTTATCCTGAGGCATCCTGCACGCCACACACCATCCTGTGCACCAGGAGGATACACACATGCAGTGCACCTCCAGCTCTGACAACATTGTTCACAGGATGATGGCTTAAACTACATCCAGAAGGTCAGAGAGACACCAAAAACCCCCACTCAGAGCGTGTGGGAGTGCCTTGCCTGATCCAGCTCTGCAGTCCTGAAGCATGAAGGGGACTGAGTAGCACTCAGCTCTGGTTTGTTCCTGGCAGTGGGCTCTTGCAGTGTGGTTGCCCAAATAATTTATTGCTGGATTTAACACGGCAATTAATGGTTAGAACAAGTGCCAGAAAGCCTTGTGTGCAGTCTAGAGCAGTTGTAACATTGCACCTGTGCTGCCTTTGCTTGGGCTGTAACCTGGGCAGTGCCAGCGTCCCGTGGTTTTACACATTAAACTGAGCCGTGTTTGGAAGCTGAGCTCAAAGTGCTTGAGGGTGAATACATGAAACACCAGCAGCAATTAACACAAATGTTTCTTTCAGCTGAAGTTATGAAACAAGGAAAACCAGGGTCAGTGGTACAGTGGGCAGGGCTGGAGACTGGAGCCTGGGGCATCTGTCCCCACTGGAGCGTGGTGTCCCCATGATAAAACACTTCCTTGGAAATCTTCAGGTCAGTGCTTTAGAGTAAAATGCAAAGTTTGTTCAAGAACTTCAAAGGAGGGGAAAAGCTGGAGCTCAGGAAGGAGTTGGCCCAGCAATGAGCACTGGATGCTGCAGAAACCAACTGCCAGGATCTAAAGATATTTTTTAAAAAACATCTGCTGTGTCCTCTCTTCCCCTTTGACTTTTTATTCCTGCAAATAAAGAAAGCTTTTATCAAAGAAAGGTCAAATCACCCCATAAGATCAGACTGAAAGGATCCAAGAGGAGAAGTATTTATATTTAGATGTGGGGACTGCAGCAGAGTACATCACTCCCTTTCCTCCTCTTCCTCTTCAGCTCTGCCAGAAAGGCCATACAATTCTCCTGAGGTATGGAAACAGGGTGCTGAGAAAAGCAGAGCACAAAGCCCAGAACTCTCTGTGACTTTGGGCTGTTTCTGATTAAAAGAGAAATCCCAATTCCAGCACAGACAGGAGAATGCTGTAAATACAAGTCCCCAGTAAAGGTCTGGAGCCAATTTGACCACTGCTGCTTTTTGATTTCTTTTCTCCCCCAATGCCCCAAAAGCCCTTCACATCAAAGAGGGGGGTTGCTTTTACTCTGTAGTCTCTGTACTTAAAAGGATTACCCAGGTCTCACCTGCCTTTGCTGCACCAGGGCAGCATCTGAAGATGCTCCTGATGGCATCTGCTAAAGACATCTAAGACTGAATGCTGAGGACATCAGGAAAACTCCAAAAACAGCAAAATCTGCTTCTTTTAAACTGATTCTTGTGCTCAGTTTTCTCTTGCTCCGTGATTCAGCAAGTGCTGTAGGCCTTAAATAAAGCTTCCTGCTTGTGAAAACTGCTGAATAAACCACATGGTTTAGGTCACAGTAAAACCCCAAAGTACCTTTAAAACAGGACCATATTTGCCCTCTTGCTTTTCCATTTCTTTCTTCCCATCTGCAGTAGTAACTGTGCCCACAAAACCACCCCAGGCAAGAAGCTAAAGCAGGGCCAAGCCTAGAGAACAACGTGGTGTTTTCAGCTCAAATGGTGAACTTTTGGGGCTGATTTCTGGTCTCACTGATATGGGTTAAGGAAGCACCAGGAGAGCTCAGGCCCATGGACGCCCTGTATTTACACACCCTACACCAAAGACAAAAAGCACAATGAAACACCAGCAAACAGGAGTGGCTTAGCCCAAAGGCACCAGGAAGTTTAAAGCAGCTGAGCACTGGCCCCAGATGTTTGTGTACTTCACTCAAAGCCTTAGAGACAAAGTGTCAGGAGGGCAAGTGAGGGGCTGGAGGCAGATTCCCTCGAGTCCATTGCCCAGAGGCCACCACAGCAGGTCAGTCACACACCCCAGCTATGCACATCCCTACAACCACTGGATTCCTGCAACCAAACTCGACCCTCGCTTGGTATTTCCTGCTTACAGAGGGAACACAAACAACCCAAAGGCTTTGGGCAAGGCCTCAGGGTTAGGAAGCTGCTCATGTTTTTCTGAAGTGTAAGGGAGGCACTGCTGCAGCTAGCAGGCAGGGATTGGCATGATGGGACTCCAAACAGAGCAGGGACCCTGCTTCTTATGCACCCCAACCACCAGATACTACAACAGCTTTTATAAACAAAAGGCTGATGCAAGGCTGGAGAAGATTAGAGTAGAGTATTGCTGGGGAAAGGGACTGTCAGCCCCTCCTGGCAGGTTTTGCCAAGGGGAACACCTGGTCAGACTCCAGCTGTCAGAGTGGCTGCAGAGGAAGCCAAAGCCATGAGCTTCCACTTCTTCACTCCTCAACTTGTGGCACAGATTTTAACTTGCTGTAAGAAAATTGGGTAGATTTACCTCAAAGGGTCATGAGCTCGAATACAAGATGCCAGAATGGATAGGGAGAAAGCAAGGACCATAATAAAGGCAGGACACACAGAAGTGACCCAGGTGACATCACACAACACCACAGCCAGAATGAGAACTGCTGAGCCTGGGCTCTGTAATCAGACCCACTGACCAGGGATTCCAGTGAAAATCCTCAGGTTCAGTCCACTTTGACTGACACACTGCAGCAGTCAGAGCCACGCCTGGCCCTCTGCACAGAGCCAGACCTCCAGCTCCCACTTCACCAGCTCAATTCTGAGTGAAGCAACAGCTCTCAACAATTGCCAACAGCTCCAGCCTCATTGCCCAACACCTGCAGACAGTTCAGCCAGTGTAAGGTCAACAGGGAGCTGTGAGAAACCAGCATTTCCACCAGTGGAGCAACACTGTGCAGCAACCAATTCTCTGATGGCCAAATGATTCCTTCTCCCACGGAAAAGAGCAGAGCCTTTCGTTCCTCGGGTGCAGTGGGTGGCCAGGAGCAGGAAACCTGCGTGGGTCTGCAAAGTGACAGCAGCCTGCAAAGGATCAGTTCAGGAGCTGGGAGGCAGAAGGTGAGCTCATCTGCTTCCCTCAGAACCAGTTACCATCTCCCACTCCTCATTTCCAGGGGAAGCTGTTTTGGGTTGGCATAGATTTTTGGGTTGGTGTAGCCGTGGAAAGGAGTTTTAACCCTTTAAGTGCGGCAGAAATAAGATGCACAGCTACACGGTCGTCTTTCATGACAGGAAGAAAGAGCCAAGTTTATTCAGAAACACACTTGGTTTTATAGCATGACTGCAACTCCCAGAGTAGAGAAAAGGTGATTGGTTCAGAGAGAAGACACCCCATTACCAGGGCCTGGGCACACACCACAACAGGTGTTCTATCTTGTTATTAATTCCTTTTTATTTTGACCAAATTATCACCCTGGGAGAAATTCTCCCTAGCCTTGAGCTGGACCAGCTTATCGGCTGGGAGCAGAGCTGAGAAGCTCCAGCCTGGAATATTTTTCAGGCTGTAATTTACTTACTTTCTCAATATGTGTTCCACAGGTTGGCACACATTTAATTCCTGGGCTTGCAATTCACATTAGAAAGGAACCAGACAGGGTTGGCATCACTAATAGAAATGTGTCCACCCAAGCTAAAATCCCCCATTAGGAAGAGGCCAGCCCCTAGCCTTATGGATGGCTCCTGGCAGTGAAAATGCATTTATTTAAACTTAATGTATGGTGGGGGGTGGCAGTGGGGACAGAAAGGCTGGGTCAGGCATGCAGCATGTGCTACATCAGAGAATCCCTCCGAGCAGGGGCAAATAAATAAAGAGCTGCAGGACAGGAAAAATATAGGTCTGGTTTGAGTGCATATGCTGCTCTTTATTCTTAAAAGCATTACAGGCACTCTGCAACCTGCTCCCATCCCATTAAGGAGCATTCCCAGCTGATGGCAGGCCATGGAGCAGGAGCAGCCCCACAACACAGGCTCCAACACTGGCTCTGATCTCAGGGCCAGAGCCAAACAAGCTTTGCTGGGAGAAGTACAAAAAGGGTCAGCAATCGAGTCAGAGAAAGCCAAGCAGTGTCCCTAGGAGGGGTCCAGGAGCTCTGGGGTCTGATTTGTGTGGCAGTAGGAGCATCCCCCTGTCCACACCCTGGCCAGAGGCAGCATGATGGCAGGGGAAGAGCAGGGAAAATGGGAAGGCAGCCACCCAGCATGGAGATGGGAGGGTTTGACATGAAGTCTGGGCTCATGCAAGGTGGGAAAGTGACCCCTAAAAGAAGATAGAGATTTGACAATATTTGCCAAATGCTGACAAACCTCTCGCTGAGGTTTACTGAACACTGATTTTGTGTCCCATTCTCTTCTTCTGCATCTGACTAGACGGGATTTTGAGGAATAGGAGCAAAAGGAATCAAAACACTCCTGCAGAAATTCAGTGAACTGAGCAGCATTATCAATGTCATAAACCAATATCCCGGAACTGCAAACAGGAACCAGAGCACTGCTCAGGTAAACATTCCCTGCTCTCCATTTGCAGCTCAGCTCTGCTCCCACAGCACTGGTGAAAATGCACTAAGTGGAAGAAAAGACAACATTAAAAAAATAATTAAATAAGATGCAGGGAAAATTAACAAGATATGTAGATGGTGCAGGCTGCAGGGTTCCACTGAAGCACAACTCCTTAGAAAGGTGCCACACTTTTCCACTTCCCTTCATTGAACACTTCCAGAGAAATAGAAGGAAACTCTGGGCAGCCACAAATTCCTGATCAAAACCACCAAGCAGTTGATGCTGCAGCACTGAGCTGGCTACAGCTGGCAACCTTGCACCGGGCTTTCCCTCCCCCTTCTCCTTTGTGAGATGATTTAACAAGCTGCAGAATCCCACGGGACATGTCAGCCAGCCAACAGCAATGGAGCATCATGTCTGGAGCCCAACATGTCCATCTGCACTGCTCCCTTCCCTTTCAGGCACAAAGCTCCGAGCTCGGAGTAAAAATGTCATCAAAAGGAACTTGTACAGAAAAAGTGGTGGTAGAGGACATGCCCTCCCCCGCCTGCCAGAGCCCCTGCACGGGATGGATGTGTCAATTAAGTGTTTTGGGATGGCAAAAAACGTGTCACCCTCTGGTCACTGTCAGACAACGTCAACAGGATCAGAACACCTCGAAATTAATGTTTATTTCCATCACACACAGAGATCTGATCCAATACACATCTTAGTGGGAATTTGGGATTTCTAGCACTTAGAAGGGTATGGGGAACGGTGATACTTTATTTAAATCTTCATTTAAATATGGACACCCTCCTCCTGGTGAGGTCTCAGACCCCTATACAGAGAGACAAAAACCACCCCATGTTCTCCCCATCTCAGCACTAAAAGACTTCTCAAGGTCTGCCTGCTCAGCCCAGCCAGCCATGCTCCAATGCTCCTCTGGGCCACCACGGCTTCTTCCTGGGCACTGGCCTGTCACTTTGTGCCATGTCACCCACACTCATGTGCCCCTCAGCCTGGCTGCTGCCCACCCCTTCCCAAACCCTGCTCACACCCCTCTCAGCCTGGCTGCTGCCCAGCCCTGACGCCTGAACGCTGAGCCGGTGTCTGACCCGGGGCAGATGAAAAGCAGGTAAATAGGCCAAGTCAAGCAGAGACAAAGATTCAGGAACCGAATTACCCCTTCCCTACAGCAATTAAAAAAGCAAACGCAATTATTTTGTACCAACAACTGCACACAGAGTGCACTTTTGCCTTAGGGAGACTGGAATCAGTGAGACAGAGATTCGCACGACATCTCCCTTCCCCGGTGACATTGCCCAGATCAGTGACATGAGGATTCTGGATTGGTGCTGGCACTGCAGTGCTCAGTTCTGTGCACGTGGGGAGACCCCAGGACGCTGGGAGGGACCCCTGGACTGCAGCCCAGGACATCAGGACAGGCAGGAGAAACACGGAGCTGGAGTGAAAAGGAAATGAGTCGCTCTGATAGCAAACAGCAGAATGACAGGATGAGAGGCAAGGCCCTCGAGGAAGGGGACACGGGACTGGAGAATTCAGAGCCACAACAAAGCTTCCACCGAAGCGTTTGGAGCACACTTTACCCTTGAACACAGCCCACACCAGCTCACCCACATGGCTCCATTTAAGCCTGTATCAATCCCAGCTCCAGCTTAACCAGGAGTCCCTGAGGGCTAAAGAAAGACACAGCGAGGAGAGATTAACTGGCAACAGTTCGGGACACAAACAAGGCACCGACATACCACTGACTCCAGAGACATTCCTTCTTGATGAGCTTTTTAATTGGGTGCCCAAAGAGCAAGTGACAGGGAAAGGAGAGAGCAAACACAGCGAGAGGAGGAGGGCAAACAGAGAAAAAGACCCCATGGTGGCTCAGATGGGGACATGGGGGACACACCTGAGCAGCCACAGAGCTCTGTGATCAGCTCTGCTTGCTCCTGGTGGATGCTACACAAGCACAGAGAGCACTGACTTAGACAACAGTTCCTAAGGAAAAGCTCAGGAAAAGAAGGATGGAAATCAGAAAGGACATCCTTTTACTCCAGAGGCATCCTTGAAATCCAGTCTGTTAGCAGGAACAGGAGTGAATGGCCAAGGCAGGAAATTATTCCCAAATCCCGAGATAGCTCCTAGAAGTTGTCATTACTTGTCTGTGCTATCTGTACAGAGATAAGGTTAGAGCTGAAAAACACGGAGTGCTGAGAGCTGAGGGCATGAGCCAGGCAGTCAAACACAGGGATGGAGCTCTGGGAGCCCTGGGGAAGGGCAGGGAGCGCTCCCCAGGAGCTGCCAGGGGCAGCTGCACCCACCCCTAATGCTGGAAAACTGAACCAATAATGGAACAAGCAGCAGAGAGAGATGTTCCCATATATTTCACGGTGGATCTGCAGCTTCCAGTCCCGGTTTCACCCAAATGTCAGCTCTGACTCTCCTTACAATGACAGCCTCAAACAGCTTTTTTCCTCACCAGGAAAAAAAAACTCGGTTCTTTGGGGAACATTTACAACATAAGATATTCCAAACCCCTTGAAATATTTCTGCCCACTTCTCTGCAAGAATAACAGACTCAGCTCTGAGCCTTTTCTCTGTTCAATAGAGCTCTCCCAGCCAGAAGCTGCTTTCAGCAGCAGAGCCTTTCCCAGCCTGACATTTTTAATGTACAGAAGGAATGTACATATGCCAGTCAGACTCCTAAATATATGCAGGATAAAACTCTCCATTACTTCAAACAATTTCAGGGTTACTGTGATTGTCCCAGCAAATAATTATATCCCAGCTGTAACAACTCACACCCATATAACAACCAGGATTCTCAGAGCTTTTAAGCCAGTTCTCTTTAGTCTTTATTTTCAGTAAAAAGAAATGTCAAGGTCACATCCTGTTTCACTCCTTCTGTGAAATAATTTCTGTTGAGATTAGAGGAAATATTTCCAAAATGCCAAATTCAGCACAAATTCCACACATCCTCCAAGTCCCATTTTCAGCTGTTGTGACCCAGAGCAGATGAGCCACAGGAGCTCAGACACATCTTCACAGCCTGCACCACGCTGAAAGGAGCTGTGAAGGGGGCACAGGGGCAATGTAGTAACTGAAAATGATGCAAAGGTGGCTACTAACAACACTCCAGGACAGCCACAAGTCATCCATGGGGATCATGGGATGAATTGAGGTCAAACATCCCTTACAGGGCAGTCAACTCTATCAGAGTCCCCACCGTGAGAGAAACCATGGCTTCAGAAATCACTGGAAAGAAGCACTAGGAAAAAACCAACTCAAGTCCGCAGGACAGAGTCTCTTATTTAAATCATATGATGGATTTCACTGTCCTTGTAACAGAACCAAGATAACGACTGAAGGCTTTGAAGTCTTCAGAGCTTAAGGTTTTATCCTAATCCTGTTCCTGATTCCTAAAAAAAAAAAAAAAAAAAAAAAAAAATTGTGCTGATTCCTGAAACTGAAAGCAGTGAGGAAGAGCCTATGGAGCCCACCTGGGTCCCTGCATGGGGGTGCTTCAAACCTCAGCAGGCACCCAGCCTCTGGAATCGGATTCTGTTCTAAAATCAGGCACTTTGTAATGCCAAACTTGAGCGGATTTCTCAGAGTCTAATTAGGATGAGGCAGAAGTCGATTCACCTAATTTCTAACCCACTTCAATATTAGATTTGAAAGACCACCTATGACATCTTCAGCCTTGCTCGCCTCAGGAGTCTGCACAACAGCAGGCAACGGGATTAGATAAAAATCTAATGAGATAATGTATTTACATAATATTTATGGCACTCACTCTCAGACAGGGTTTTGTTCTTGGGTCCTCAGTACGTGGCACTACAGACACTTCCTTTGAACTGGAAAAAGCTTGAAGTTTATTTTTAAATCTAATTTCCCTTTAAAAGAAACCATGTATTTAAGTATCAAGGGAGGAGTTCGAATGTACCTGGGCTTACCAAACCTAAACATTAACTCCAGCTCAACTTTCCTTCAGCTGAATAACTCGGGCTCCTGCAGAGTGTCCAGTAAAGCCATGCACACACTCCTCCTGTAATTCTCTCAGCACCCTATGTCAGATACATCCCCTGAAACCCTCAATAGCCATACATCAGCAAGCCAAGCATGTACACACAGTCCCAGCACTTTGCATCCTGCAGCCTCCCAAACATTTCAACAGCTCACCCTCACTAATCCTGGGGAAATAGCCACCTTAACATCCTGCGTGTGCCAGAGCCAGCTAAAATCCTTGGCTTAGGAAAAAATAAAAACCACACAAATCTACACACTGCTGAGATAGAAATAGTTCCAAACTTAAGCCCCTTATCCAGCAGTCTGGAGGCCCAACTGGATTTTCTTCCAGGATACAAACATCTGCAGGAATCCCTGCCAAGCATCCAGCACCACATTCAGTTAGAATTAAAGAGCAATCAAAAAGTTGAACTCCAATCTGATTCATCCAAACTTCTCAAAGCCGAGTATTTCTCATTGAGTTATGGCACCAGGACAAAATAATTTTGGATTCAGGTCCAGAAAAGTGTACGTGATGTGACAGATACCCAGGTACCAGGTGGCATTAATGCCCTGCCTGACCCAGGGCAGGGCATTTCCCCACCCATGAAGGGGCAGGAGCACAACCTTTTGGAAGCAGGACATAAAGAGCTCTGAGGCTCTCCAGGTTTTGTGAAGAAGAAGGCACATCCACACACTCCAGCTCAAATTTCATTCCAAAGGCAGCTCGCACCTTCCTGCCCTGTCTTTATTTGAGCCCTTGCCCCCTCCCCAGCCCCCAGGCTCTCACTGCCGACAGCCAGCCCAGGTGCACCGACATTTCCAGCTCTGTTTTCCTCCCTCCTGCAGACAGCAGCTGTGTTCACTTTGCCAGTCGGTTGCTATAGAAACAAATCAATCCTCAATAGTTTTATTTTT